ACCCGCGGTGGGCCTGGTACAGCCGCGGCTCCGAGAGGGCCGCGGTGGGGCCGAGCTCCCGGCGAGCGGGAAGGGCCGGCTCTGCCTGCCGTGTGGCGGCCTCCGGCTCTTCAGTCGGGCTCAGCCCCGCCGCCTGCGCGGCGCTGCGGGGGTAGCGGGGCACACGTCGGGTTGGTGGGGGCGAGCTGGCGCCTGTGGAAAGGCGGCGGGGATGGGCGGCCCCACCGAGCCCACCGCTGCTGCGGGCTGGAAGGGGAACCGCAGCACAGCAATCGCCCTCCTGCCCTCTCGTCTCTGTTTTGCAGAGCCGGGACGTTACGGAGGTCTTCAGCTCGCTCACTTGAGCTTGTTGGACTGCTTTGGGTATTTTTAAGAGTTGATGTAGTGCTGGTTTTTCCACGCCTTAGTTCATGAACTTCATAATGAAAAACAGTGGGTCGTCATTATCTTTAGATTTTACCAATATTTGTGATCAGAAATCTTAGCGAATGAGCATAATTTTAGCTGTACTTCATGCAGCCGTAATAGTGTAGTCTGACCCAAAATGTCTTTTCTGCACATGAACGAAAATGTTCTCCAAGTTCTTGGGCCGGTCCGGGGCACTTGGTTTCTCGTGCCCTGTGCAGGGAAGGGAGAAAAAAAACCCTTTCTCACGGAAGCTTCTGGGATTAGTGAGCTCTTGTAACTGCTGGTATCTTCCAAATACAACCGGTTTTATCTGGTGTGCTGGTCAGAAAAAGCAGCCAATGAGGAACCACTCAGGAGTTTTTTCCCGAGTGGTGGCCTCTGTAGGACTGTGACTTATGCTCTGACAATGAGGAAGAAAATTAGACTGAAAGAAAAACTGTGTTTATTAGGAAAACCACAGCTGAACTTTCCACCTGAGTGATCGTACCTATCTTAACTGTTGATTGAAGAAATGCAATTGGTAGAGCTCACATGATGCTGTTCAAGTGACCCTGAGTGGTTTGAGAAGAGAAATAATTGAGGAAGAAGAGGGTGATCTGCTTTGCCACTGATGTGCAGCAGGGCGAGTGGCTGAATTTTGTCCTGGTTCAGGAAGCAGATTTGGTGTCAAGATGAGACTGGCTGGCTTGCTGTGTTTGAGGAGGACAGGAGGAGCTGACAGAGTTGGTGGTGGTTTATTCGCAATAAAAAGTCCTCAGACTTAAGCAGTTGACAGAAGTCTCTTTTTCTTTTTTTTTGTTTTCCTATTGACACTGTTTTATATAGCTTGTATGTAAATGTATATGACAAATCCCATCCCTAATAAGAGAATGACTGTTTTGTGTAGACACTGACCATTGATGCAGTTTTTGTCTTTGACAGCTGATACTGGACTCTATTTACTGTTTTTTGTGCTGAGTTTTCAGTTTTCTGTGAGTGTATTTTAAAGTTAGGTTCTCATGGGCATTCCTGTTTGTTGATTTATGCC